TCCACACATATATATTTCCATTATCTACAAAATACTTAAAAATTTAAAATATAATGCTTACTATGTTCAAGAAGTAATCTTCAACCCTTAAATTTTTGACACCTGATTATTTTCTTTCATTTATTGCTGTCACCCCATAAATATTATAGAGACTACCTTGTAAAAGTAATATTTTAATGGTGCTGATTTTTATTTCTGTTTGGGGGGGTTTGCTCAGAATATTTGTTATCACCAGTGCCTTTATTCAGTGAATTCCACAGCTCAAGATCTAGTTAAACACAGTTTGTGACAGATCCCTGTCTTCTATCCAAATCTTTCGGTATCATTACTAATATTTATGAGCTCTCTTACTGAAAAAGGGTAGGTATGAGACTCATGCTGTTCAGATTATTGTAATATAAACTATTTAACATAAGACAGGTGTGTCATAGGTTGCTGGATGCCTCATTTCAATAATTAGACATCTTAAATTCATTATACCTTTGGGAATGATATCACCCCAATTAGCAGTACTTTTCAATGATGTTTTATTGGCAGTCAAGAATTCCAAAGAAATATAAGTTCTGATAATTTGGTGATTCTGAACATAATTGGACTTCTTCTCTGGAATGATTGAGTAGCTGTAACTTTCCCTACTCCTCCTGCTAAGAACAGCAGAAAACCCTGAAAATGACACATAAAATAAATAGAGGAACTCTCTAAAATATGGAGAGAAGAAGGCAGACCAGCGAGGAGCATTGGAGCCTGAGGAAAGACGAAGGGCAAGTCCCCTGGGTTTTCTTTCTGCCTCAGTTATCCCAGAGTGAGTGCTGGAGAAGTCAGCAGTACAGAAACACCAATGGGCATGTTCCAAAAAAGTCCCAGAAGCAGTGTGTTTTCTCTAGTCAAAGGATCATGAATGGGTAACTTGGCAAGGCAGAAAACTTGTTGACAACTGCCGTGCACCAGGCAAGCAACAGAACAGCAGAGAAAAAATTGCAGCCCCAGCTCAGTTAGCAAAGGCTGACTTTCACTGTAGCCAGGCTCAAATGAAGCATAGCGGCCTACCCTTCAGAGTGATGTCAGAGAAATTGGACATGGGACCTAGGATTTTTTTCTACTCTGAGCAGAAGGTGCCCACCTTATCATGATGTAGATGTAGACCATTTAGGGAGACTGGGATTTTACCTCCACCAGTGATTAGGAGACCTCCAGAGTTATATCTTTCCCCGTCGCCCAGCAATGACAAGGCCATGCCTACTGCATTGCATTTGAAGTTAAAATTAAGAACATTTTAAAATGCATTTATAAATTTATTCATTTAAGTACAAAAATTTAACATTACATAAGCTAAAGTGAACAGATGTTAAAAATAAATATATTTTCAGAAATTGAAACAAATATGCTGAAAAGAGTGGCATTCTGTTACAATTTTGAAAACCTTAATGTCTCATACTATTTCTGCTTTCAATCACATCTGATATATTATTTTGAATGAAGTACATAAAAATCAGGCCAGAGATATAGCTATAAATATACATATATAGATACTTACGGGATGGATTGGAAAAGAGAAGAATATTTTAATCTTTTTAGATAACCGTGTCTGGGATGCTAAACCCAAAATTGACAAGTGATAGTGAGGTGTTAGCTGCAATAGAGAATAAAAAAATCATTTAACCACACTTTTAATTCTTTGTTGCATGGAATTCATTAGTTTGCCTTGATTTTTGAAGGCAGAGTTGGAGTCATGAATAATTTGTGTGGTTGCCAATGTACCCTGTGTCCCAGGACCTAATTTCCAAGATCTGGAGAAAATATCTCCTTTTTGTAGTACCTAAGAATGCAAAATATCCCATGCATCTATCATACTCTGATAACTGTTAAAAACAAACCAAAACAACCCTTCATCACATGGCTTGCCCCAAAGTCAGGGATTTCATGTAAAACTTCATTTGTAGAAAAAGGTAGGGTTCATTCAAGAATTCCTCCAAAAGTGAGAGCAATGGTGGCACCACAGAGTGCCCTCATGTGACTGTACCACCCCATGCTGTGAGCCTGTAATACTTAACTACTACTTTTCCCATCATTTCCTGGTGGTAATGGGCAGAATTTTGGGTCATCTTAGGTTCCTGGTCAGGTATCTCCATGTATTCTACTCTGTTTAAAAAAGAGACACAAAGTAGAGAGGAACAATGTTTTATTTGCTAGAGTAAAAGGTGGGTCTTTAAAAATATGGAAGATAGTCAAATTAATTAACAAAACAAATTTTAATGTGGTGGAAAACCACAGTTCATAAAAAGGAGACTAAATGGTTTGCCAAAACCAGGATGCTAGGGGCAGATAATAAAAACTACATTAAAGCCAGATACTGCGGCAGGGTCTATGAAAGAGACAAAACTTGCAGAAACTGGGCAGAGACCCTGGATAAAACATGTCAGAGGAGAGGCATTCCTAGACCGAGTGGTCTAGGTGTGATAGCAGTGGTGATGCTCAGTTATTTAGATACCACCTATATTCAGCAAAACACATCGCATTAACATCTTTAACAGCAGCATTAAAACTTTGCTGTAATAGTCCTTCTAATGCATGTGATCTCTATCGCCCCAAATATCATCAGGTGCTTTCCAAAGTAGTATTTTTCACCTGGTATTATTTTTTAAATTGTTTGTTTTAATTGACATGATGTATTTGTGAAGTTAGATGAAAGAATGGAACCTTCCTTTCATCCCTTATTTCTTTTTTTTTTTCTGGTCACTTCCTATACTAGATTTCTGTGACTATTTCCAGGAATGACAGATACGATATTAAAGCTGGAGCCACATCTTCCCTTTGATGATCAAATACTATATTGAGGAGGATTTTGCAGATACTGCAGGGAGTTTTCCTCTGGCTTTTCTGTCATTAGTTTTGAAATCTACCTCCTCAAGAGAAGAGGACATTGTCCTTGATCATGGAATCTCAGTATTTTGACGGACAAATAAATATATACTTTCAGTTCGGGTCCACCTCCATCTAGGCAGGCGTTAATGAATTGAGATAGTTTTGCTACTTTAGGTGGGTCCGCAATTCTCTTTCTGTTCTGTGCTCTGCACTGACAACTAGGATCAAGCCCCAGCTATCTATCTATAGTACCAACATGCTTGATACAGCATTCTCTATTGCTTGGTGTTCTTTCTTGTTTTACTGTCCCACTCTTCAATCTCTTCCCAAATATACTAATTACATTCATATACCTTTGTTTTAAAGTCTGCATCTGGGGGATTAAACACTAAAATTCCTGCCTTCTTCAAAATTGCATGTATATGATAGAGTATCATATATTCTCATGGGCCTCATTATGGAAGGGTCTCCAATAGAACATTGCAAAGTTATTAAAATTCCAAAGCTGGTCAGTGTAGACAGCAGACAGATGTTTCCAGGCAGGAGTACTTGTAAGAACATATGGGAAATTCTAAGAGAAAAAAAATATATACATCTTTATTAAAATTCCAAAGCTGGTCAGTGTAGACAGCAGACAAATGTCTCCAGGCAGGAGTACTTGTAAGGACATATGGGAAATTCTAAGAGAAAAAAAAATATACATCTTCAGATGCACAAATTGTGCACACACATAGTATACCTGTCACCATGGGTAGAACACTCTGCTACTATATTATCTACCTTAATCAAATTAATTGATGAAACAAATTTTAGCATTGTATTTTGAGAAACACCTCTCAAATACAGTCTGCCCTGACCCAGAAAGACTTATTAGAATGCATCAACAACCTTTGCAAGTGCTGGTGTCCATTAAGTTTATCACCGGATAGACTTGGTATAACTCCAGCCTTCTATAACATCGTCCTGAGGGGGGCAGGGTATGGAGGGAGTTGGAACTGATATCTGATCTGGCTCTGCATCATCCTAAATACCAGGCATACATAAGCTCAGTTTCTGCTAGAAAGAGGGTAGTGAGTTTTATAAGAACAACATCTTCATAAATATATAACTTCTCTAGCTTTCATTGTAGTGCAAGTTCACACACGTACAAATGTGCACACACATGTATATAAATTTTGTGTACATATAATTGTCAAAACTAACTCTGAGCACTGTAAAAGCAGTCTTTCTTATTGAATTCTGACAAAAATGACTTGTTTTTTTACATGTTCTATGGTGGTTGTTAGTTACCAAATCACAATATCACACATAAAAAAATCAAAGCTATAGGAAGTAAAAATGTAATCTAAAGTCTAACCTACTGCCTTCACTATGGTTCACATCCCTTCAGAATTTTTATATATATTTCCAAATCTCATTATTCACACAAACTTCCTAAACTTGATTCATCCAACAAGGAGGTTCAAAGATTTCCAACTTAACTTTACCATCCTTTAAAGCAAAACAAATGTCTATGATAATTTAAACAGGTTATTGTTTTTTAAAGTGTCCTGATTAACCTTCATTTGAATTTATGTAGAACCAACCATCTGTTTACTTTTTCCTCTCTTATTTTGAATACAATATATATTTTTCTGATTTAATCCCACATTATTTTCCTCCAGAGTTTCATAAAAACTTTAATCTGAAGGTGGCCTTTGAAGAAACCACATATCTAGCGAAAAGCTACAGCCCTTTTTGGGAAGATTCTCAGAGTCTTTGTAAATGTCAAAGGAGAGCCACAAATCTCAAACAGTTGCCAAAACTAGAATATCTGCGAATGTCACAGTGATGCTTGGTACAAGGCTACCGTCATAGCATTTGTGTGAGTGTCAAATTCTGTCAGGTTCATCTTAAAGAAGCATAGAATTTTAGGAAAGAATTCAAGAGACTTAGGATGAAATAATAGTCATGTTTTGCATGGGTCAACAGTTATTGCCGTTGGCCATCATCAAGTTGTTGAATAGAGGCATGTTGCTGCATTTCAATTACAGGGAAGTTCTTGAATAATTTTATTTTTTTTCTACAAAGCTATGATCAAGCACATTTTCTTGCTCCATACTTTAGAATAAACTATATCATTTTATTTGAAGTTGCTGGTGATTTGTTGACATTTTATTTAGTGACATGGGTTAATTTCAAACTAATCAAGAGATTTTCTTTAACTGGGACACATTAGTTTACTAGCAAGTTAGTGTTACTAATAAAAAATAAAAAAACTGCTGTTACTCCTTAGCATAATAGAACAAATGTATCCCTTGGTGTTATTTTATCACTAAGGCATATAGAATTTCACAGGAAAATATGTATAGATATCTGTTCTAATTGCTTATTATTTGAATTGAAGAGCAGAAAATACAAGTTTGGAGACATTCTTTTATTTATATTTAAGTAAGGTATTACTTAGAGCCAAACCATTTCTTTACAGGTCTTATTTAATTGAGTTTGTTTTGGCTTTAAATATTTATTAAAATATACCTGGTTTTTGGAAAGGTCATATTTTATATGGGTGATATTTTGATTATTTTTTTTTGATTCTTCATTAGTTCTAGCTCTTGTAGAATATCCCTCATTTATATTCTGGCTTTACAAACTTCTACTGTCTATTTCTTTAAATGTTTTATTTCCATTTTTAGAGAGAGTGGAAGGGAGGAAGAGAGAGAAAGAGAGAGAAAAACATCAATGTTAGAGAGACACATCACATTGATAGGTTACCTCCCACATGCTCCCCAACCCAGGGCCAGGGATCGAACCTGCAACCTAGGTATATGCCCTTGATCAGAAATCAAACCTATAGCCCTTTGGTCTGCAGACCAACACCCTACTGAGCCACACCAGCAAGGGCTATATATTTAAATTTTCAACTGAGCATTTTCTAAAATAAAATTATTTTACATGTATTTTTAAAATAAAAATTGTATTTTACCCCATCCAGCTCATTGTTGGTTATTCTTTTTTTTTTTCAGATTATAGATTTCAGTTCTCCCAAAACTTATTTCTTTCTGGTACAGTTTGGGCTTCAATACCCTTTTATTTTCTTTCTTTTTAAATTTATCTTTATTGTTGAAAGTATTACAGGTATCCCTCTTTTTTCCCCTTTGACCCTCTTCACTCTGCTTCCACCCCACCCCCAAGCACCACACTATTGTAGGTGTCCAGGGGTTATGCATATATGCATACAAGTTCTTTGGTTAATCTCTTCCCATCCCCACAGTCCCTCTGAGATTGTCAGTCTGTCCCATGCTTCTATATCTCTGGATCTATTTTGTTCAACAGTTTATTTTGTCCATTAGATTCCACATATGAGAGAGATCACTTGATACTTGTCTTTCTCTAACTGGCTTATTTCACTTAGCATAATACTCTCCAGGTCCCTCCATGCTGTCTCAAAAGGTAAGAGAGCCTTCTTTTTTACTGCTGTATAGTATTCCATAGTGTGAATGTACCACTGCTGTTTTATCCACTCATCTACTGATGGGCTCTCAGGCTGTTTCTAGGTCTTAGCTATTGTACTAGTACTAGATGTACTGGTTAATAATCCGGATTTTTTTCAATAGATGGAGTTACACATATGTTGATATATATGTGATTTGATGTGTATGCTATTTTTGTTGTATTGACAACAAGCTTCAAAACTTCATGTGTCAAATTTGCTGAATGTGTTAACATCAGAGATATATTTACGCTTAAAAATGTCAAATTTCGTGCCAAAAAAGAGCATTTGTTGGAAGTTATAATTCATTGCTTTATTTTGAAGAAAAGTGCTGCTGAATATTTCGGGAAGCTTATGGTGAACATGCTCCATCTCAAGATATTTGTGAACGCTGGTTTAAACGCTTTAAAAGTGATGATTTTTATGTGAAAGACAAAGAACATCCAAGTCAACTGAAAAAGTTTGAAGACCAACAATTACAAGCATTATTGGATGAAGATGTGTGTCAAACTCAAAAACTACTTGCAGAAAGAGTAAACGTTGCTCAGCAAACAATTTCCGATCTTTTACAAGCAATGGGAAAGATTTTAAAGGAAGGACAATGGGTGCTACATCAACTAAATGAAAGACAATGGAAAACCGAAAAGTCATCAGTAAAATGTTGCCTCAACGGCACGAAAGAAAGTCTTTTTTGCATTGAATTGTGACT